ATCAGGCTGGTTCTGCTGGGAAAAACTGGATCCGGGAAAAGTGCCACTGGAAACACTATCATCGGCAGAAACCTGTTCAAATCTTCCACTAGTACAATCTCTCAGACAAAACAGTGTCAGTCAGAAACTACAGTGAGGTTTGGTAAACAGATCTCAGCGATCGACACGCCTGGACTTTATGATACTGAACTCAGTGAGGAGGAAGTTATACAAGAAATAGTTAAATGTGTGATGTTTGCTTCTCCTGGACCACATGCTTTCATTATCGTGATTAAAGTGGGTCGATTCACTGAGGAAAATAAGAAAACAATAGAGAGACTCAAAGAAGTCTTTGGGGAACAGATGATAAAACACACCATGATCCTCTTTACTCACAAAGATCAGTTAGAGAAGGAAGATAAAACCATTGAGCAGTTTCTACAGGATAGTGATCCAGAACTTCAGTCCCTCATACACAGTTGTGGAAACAGATTCTTCTTTCTGGACAACAACTCTTCAAGTTTCCCCACAGTTCAAAGATCTGATCAGGAAAATAGAGATGATGGTGACAGAAAATGGAGGGATGCACTTCACCAATGACATGTTTAATGAAACAAAGAAACGCATTCAGGAGATTCAGAATCAGAAACTTGATGAGAAAGTGAAGCAGTTCAAACAGGAGCACAAACTAGTCTCTCAAACAGAATGGACGAAAATATACTGCCTGTTAGCCGAGGAGTGTCGACGTGATGCTCTTAAGTTCATTGCTGCTGAAATCTGTGTAATCGCTGTAGCTTTCTGTCTGAAGAGAGTGTCTTGAGGAGGCTGCAATCCAGGCTTTGAAGAAACTACTAAAACAGAAGATGTGTGCAATTCAGTGAGCAAACTCATTGATGTTCACATATATAGATGTTTACTGAAGGACAGCAACCTGTTGAGCTTTTTTTTTTTTATAAAACTGTTTTAACTGCTGTTTAACATTTTGTATTATATTGTATTATTTATTGCGACTGATGGCTTTTTAGAATGCTAATGTGTTTTACACACTCTGTGCACTTATATACTATAAACACATGTCTAATGAAGCTCTCCAATTACTGGAATCCACTAAACTCATGTAAACTGGAGTACCTGTTTGAGGGATGGACATTTTAATATTGTGAGTACTCCGAATCAATCATATTTTCTTTCACAACCCATTAAAGGGTTAGTTTACCCAAAAAATGAAAATGGTCAACATACAAATAAACATATTTTTAATAAAATGAGAGCTTTCTGTTCCTCCATTGACAGCCTACACAACTACAACTTTCAAGGTCTAGATTTGGATTTTAAATGTGAATTAAGTTCAGAATTATGTGTTTGCATTGAAATTTGTTAAAGAAAATGACAAATCAAGCTGAACTCTCTAGATTTCTTAAATTCAGACGTACAAAGTCCTGCTAAACTCTACAGGAAGGAGCATCAAGTGAAGAATGGAGGATGTGTGTGTGTGTTTAAACTATAATATCAATACAATTCTTAAGAAATTGGGTGTTAAAAGGGATAATGTTTACAAAAATGTTTACATCATTCGTTGTAAAGCTGAATCTCATCTTCCTTGAGTTTCCTTGCCGGTCCTTAAAATTTCAGTCCCCACTTAAAGCATTCATAGTTTCAGATCTACTCTGTGATCACGCCTTCACACTCTTTCTGTTCAATGGAAAAAACGAGCTGTAGCCTATTGCAAAATTACACCCATTTACAGCTACAGTGCTTTTTTGCACATCACGAACGAACGTCTAGAAATACATTAAGTACAGCCCAGATAGCGAGGTGACACTGATACAATGTTGAGTTTCTTGGTTCATCATCTTGCACTCAAAAAAAATAGCTTGTTCAGTGAACTTAAATTAAAGTAAACCTTTCCACACTGTAAAAAATGATATGGTGAAAAAGTCATGACAACTTATGTTTTTAAGTTACTTTAACTCATGAAAATAATTTAAGCAATTTAAACTGTTTTATACAAGTTATACTAGATTCAACTTGATTTTTTAAGTCAGTTTAGTGTTATTGTAATTCAAGGAGCCCAATTTAGTTAAATGAACTTAACATTTTAAGTTCTAACTTATTGGCAGATTTGGCACTAACCGGCCAGATCTCTGAACATGGATTAATGCGCAGGAGTCAAATTTGAACATTAATTCAATTTCAGAATCCTTTCCACCAAGAAAAAAAAAACGTATTCAGCAAATCTAGAAATTAGATTTATGTTTAATACATAAAGACATCGCAGTGCAACATCAAACAAGGAGACACGAGACTATACAGCGAACTAACTAAATCGTGGAGGAATTTCAGACGAACAACATGAATTTGACGAAGCTGTCGGTTGGGCAGCGCGAAGAAGCATATTCAACATGTCGTGGATGAGGTGAGTGAATGCTTGTGTAACATGACTTTAGGGAGATTATTGTTAATTTTTGCAGAATAGTGTTTTAGTTATGTTCTGTCAATAGTTTTCCGAAGTGTGTTTACCTTTCAAGTTTTGCATTTGAGACGGTGCCAGCTGTGCTGTGCTGCATTAGCACTGCAGTTGTAATGAACAAGTCCCATTTGACACACATTTGTTTCTCCACCTGTTAAACATTGTTAAAATGGGCAATTTGAGCGATTATAGTTGTATTTTACCATTAAAGTGCGTACCAGTTGGCTTTGCTGAGCAGGCTCGGCATTTTCGCGCCTACTGCAAGTTTATCCTAACGTCAGTCAGTCAGGCCTCATGCGTATGAGTTGGGATTCGTTACTGAGTAAAGTAAGTGTAATTTTAACATTTTTATCAACCGTGCATAACTACAAGCTAGGATAATATATAGGTGAACTATCTAGACTAGAGGTAGATGACCATAGACATGGGCACGTCAACGTCGCCGCCATATTGCTCCAGGCAACTCTCCATAACTCTCATATCGGGACAGGAGAAAATATACCTGACTCGTCGGCAGCTTGGGGATCTACAAACCATCGCACAAGAATAAAAACAGATCAAGACAGCTTAATTGACCACCAGTGACAAACTATACCGCTAGTCAGCTGTGAAAGCTGAGACTTCATAAAAAAATCATAACATAATTCCCCCGGTTTCACAAACAAGGCTTAAGCTAGTCCCAGACTAAAATGCATGTTTGAGCCATCTCAACTGAAAATATCTTGCTCTGACATATCTTAAAATATGTCAGTGTCATTGTTCTGTGTCAAGATGCACACCTGTAATGTTTTCTTCTAAGGCATTTTTGTAAAAGTTGCTTAAATATTTTAATTTAACTGAGGCCTAGTCCTGGCTTAAGCTAAGCCCCGTTTGTGAAACCGGGCCATTAAGTTTTAACATATTGTAGTTTATATTATAAACTGAATTGTGTTGTGAGCACAATATGTACAGTGAGCACTTTGACAAGACAATGCCAGACTGTCAGGATTAGGGATGGAGCTAAAGCAGCTCTTTTTAATTTCACTACTCATTTACAAAGAGTAAGTTTATCATCACTAGATTATAAGGATTTGATAGCAGTATACTGTTAGACCGACCTGATCAACTTAAAGCACTGTTTATTTAATTTATATCATTTATTTGTGCTCTTTTAATTTCTTTATTTGCTCTTATTGTGACTGCTTACTTCTCTTCAATAATGTTTATTTGTTAATTAACTTTATATTATTTTGCATTTTTGTATGTATGTATGTACGTATGTATGTATTTAGTTATTTATTTATTTAGCTAGCTAGCTAGTTAGTTATTGCAGGGATCTAGGGAAAAAAATAAAAAAAATAAAAAAGGAAAAAGTTACCAGAAAAAGTTTTCAGCCAGAAAATGATAATGAATCCCTGGACAATTACTTCTGCAGTATTGAGGAAGAAAGGGCAAAGCATAACCTTGAGAAGTTATCTCACATTCATATTTATTGGGAAGGTTTAGAGGTTACAATACAGACACAATTATGGAATGGAACAATTCACCAATAAATATCACCTTTAAACACAGAATGTTTTTCCCAAAGGTCCAAGAAACACCAACTGACGGAAAAGAAAAAAGAAAAATTCATATGATTGTGTTTCAAGTCAAATAGGCCTATTACAGTCCACAATCAGGTTTCTTTTCCATTTCTCCCCGATATTCAAAATGAGTCAACTGCGCTGGCAAAGTTATCTATTCTAACAGCCAGTGGAAAATCAGTAGGCAGAAGATATAATGATGATTTAAAAAAATAATAATAATAAAAATAGAATAATGAAATAAATCTGACTTCATCTGAAATGAAATAATTTTATGCCATGTGACCTTGGATACACTGAATGGAGAGTCAAATCATACTCTCATATCCCATAATCTTTCAGACAATTCAGATTTTGTATAATATTTGTATTGATTTAAAATGATTAATTAAATCAGTTACAGCTCCATCAGTTCTATAAGCAGTTCTATCAGTTTTAGCATAATATAGTTTAATTGTATATTTATAAATATAGTCAAATTAATTGGTTTGATGTAATCTGTTTACTCAGTTGAAATGAGTGTTATTATTGTTATGATCATTGTAATTGTAAAGCTAATTAATAACACTTAAAGCAACAACAGTTTTAAGAACTTCACAAGTAGCATTACCACCAACAGGTCTACCAAGAAATGCTTCCTTAACAACAGCTCCTCCAACAGCTGCTCCAGCAAGAACAGCTCCACCAACAGCAGCTCCACCAACTACTCCAACACCTACAGCTTTAGCAACAGCTCCAATGCTGGCAGCAGCAGTTGCACCAACAGCAGCTCCACCAACAGCAGCTCCACCAAGAGCTCCAACAGCAGCTCCAGTTACAGTTACAGTTTCAGCTCCACCAATTACAGCTCCTGCTACACCTCCACCAACAGCTCCACCAAAAACAGCTCGGACAATATTGTCCATCATGTTGTGTGGTTGCTATCTACGTTATCTGGTCTAAGCTAGACCCCGCCCCAAACTCAATGGGAATTCACACAAGCACGTGATTTATAGTGAAAGTCGGGTCATTTTCTCAAAGCTCGCTTCTGCAGAAACGCGTTTCACTTCGACTACATTGTGCGCTTCTTGGTGAGTGTTCGAGTTACAGGCACATGTCATGGACAAATGCTGTAGTCTTTGTGCAGATGAAAATCTTAAACGAACCAAAACTTGATTTAACGATAAAAGATTGTATATAGATATAGGCTAGATGTATCGCATCATCCTTAATTGCAAATATTGCATGCCACGAAATGTGCCGTCGGACTGTAATGTAATACAATTTTTATACCAATGATTAGGAATGCCAGTCAGCAGGAGTAGGATTGCGTATTCATTTGACAATTATTTATTTTCCACTTACTTTATTTTATGTCCAGAAATAAAATTGACTACCAAGGCGATTCCTCAAAGGTCCCATATTGTACAACTTTCTGGAGTTTTATTTTAGGTTTTGATGTCCTTAAGAATATATATTTGCGGTATAAGTGCCATTCACACCAGCTCAGATTCGGCTACATAAGTATGGGATTACAATTCTGCGCGCGAAAGATCATATTTTGAGCGCGCAAAAGTGCGTTTTGCACACGCGCGAACTGAGTTTCGTGGAGAAAATGTTTGTCTTGCAAAGAAGAAAGTATTTCGAATGCACGAAAATCAGTTTTGCATTTAAAATAAGTTTTTGGATGTGTGCAGACATTCTCTTTTGCGCATGCAACGTTTCACTAGCTTGCTCACCTGCTGCCGGCCCTC